TTTTATTTTTTAAATATATTTTTATTGATTTCAGAAAAGAAGGGAGAGGGAGAGAGAGAGAGAAGCATCAGTGATAAGAGAGAATCATTGATTGGCTGCCTCCTGCACAGCCCCCATTGGGGATCAAGCCTGCAACCCTGGGCATGTGCTCTGACCGGGAATGAAACCTTGACCTCCTGGTTCAAGGTCGACACTCAACCACTTACACTGCCTGCCTGGGCTGTTTATCCTCATTTTACACATGCAACACTGGGACCAGAAAAAGGGGGACTTTGGTGTCATCTTGTGGCCTCCTCTGTCCAGCGAGTCCAGGCTTACCTTAGGTCAGAATAGCTGGTTGACCCTGAGAACGTGAAAGATGCTGGTCCTCAAACCAAGGAGAGCCCAAGAGCCCTCCCCTCCTGGGAGGCCTGGTCCTCACCTTTCAAGCCGAAGTTTGCCGACCACTGCCTGAGAGCCCTCCCCTCCTGGGAGGCCTGGTCCTCACCTTTCACATCTGTGTGGAGTGTGAGGAGCAAAGGCACATCTGTATCAAGGATGCGTGTCCCTAAGACCCTCTCTTGTGCTTGCTCAGGTTTGGTGGTGAGAGAGAGCTGTGTGGAATCCAGCGGAGCTCCGCCATGTCATCAGCTTGAGGCCCTGCTGGGGAAGCAGTCGAGGTTCAAGCCACAGCAGAGCCCTGGCCTGCCCTCCTCCTGAGGTCCAGGGGCAGCCAGACCTCTCCTCTGAAGCCATGGGCCCCTCCCATCCTGCACTCCCACCCCTGGCCAAGCTTGGCCTGTGGTGGCTCCTTCTGACCCCAGCAGGTGAGTAAGTGTCATCACTAGGACATCATGTCACACCTGCAAGCTCACAGGCTGTGGAGGAAACTCCTGGGTGGGCTCATGGCAAGTCTGCAGGGGTCTTCAAGTAGCTCGGTCCACAGTGAGGGGCAGGGCGCGCACAGGTCAGACACTGGCAGCTGCGGCACCCGGAACCTCCCCCGGCTCCAGTGTCCCTCATCTGTAAGTGCCAATCGCGCTGTGAACCTCCCAGGTCGGTTGTAAGGATCCCGTGAAATGAGAGGTTGTGACTAGCACCTGGAACACAGTCACGCTCAATGCATGGCGACTGCTGCTATTGATGCGCTTCTCTGGGTTTTAGCCTCCACTTGCTCAGGCAGCAGAACCCTAAGAGGTGAAGCTGTTCGCAGAACAGACACGGAGCGTCCCATCAGACAAGTCTGGGACACTTTTCCCTAGCTCCTCAGTTCTGGGCTGAATCTCTTCTCTAGGTCTGACTTCTTCTTCACTCCTCCGCCTTGACACCCCTCCTCAACACTCATTTCCATGCCTTCGTAGAGAACAAAGAGCAACTGACATTTCTTGAGTTCCAACCATGTGCTGGTTGTTAAGTTCGCACACACACGACCCTATTCAATCCTCAATAGTGTTGTGAGATAGGTTCTGGAGAGCGTCCCCACTTTACAGATGGGGAAGCTGAGGCTCAGTGAGGCTGAGTGGCTCTGATTTGATGGGAGGGAGCTGGGCACCCACCACCATGGACTCCTGGAGACCCCACTCTTCCTTCCTGTCCCACAGCGTCGGCGCCGCGAGCCCCCCACACCCAAGCCGAGGATCGCCTCTTCAAACACCTCTTCAGGGCTTACAACCGCTGGGCACGGCCAGTGCCCCACACCTCGGACGTGGTCATCGTGCGTTTCGGGCTGTCCATAGCCCAGCTCATCGATGTGGTATGCCAGTCCCACCGCCCTTTGAGCCCTAGGGATCAGCCCCCAGAGCACAGGCCCCTTTGCTGGGGTCGTCCCTCCCTCCTCAGCTCCAGCGCCTGTCCCTCTGCACCCCCAGCCCACCTCATCAGAGCTTCCCTTCCTCCCAGCCCTGGGGCCCCTCCTGGGAGGACACTGAGTCAGCAGTGGGTTTCTAGATGCTTGTCTCATTCCGCTGGACACAAGCCCAGAGGACCCAAGTGGCCTGTGTGGTCCTGAAGAGTCTGCGTAAGGGGTACAGTGTCGGGAGGGGTGCTGGCCGGGCGGGGCTTGCTGTATCATGTAAGACGGCCTTCTGGAGAGGGAGGGGCTGGAGTCAGCCTGCCCCAGGCCCCCCTATCTTCTGGGGCTGGTTCTGCCGCTCTAACTTCTCTTCTCCTCTCTCCCGCTGCCTCCCGGCCAGGATGAGAAGAACCAGATGATGACCACCAACGTCTGGCTCAAGCAGGTGAGGGCCCCACCTGTCCCTCTGCACCCCCAGCCCATCTCATCAGAGCTCCCCTTCCTCCCAGCCCGGGGGCCCCTCCTGGGAGGACACTGAGTTAGCAGTGGGTTTGCTCATTCCACTGGACACAAGCCCAGAAGACACAAGTGGCCTGTGTGGTCCTGAAGAGTCTGCGTAAGGGGTACAGTGTCGGGAGGGGTGTTGGCCCGGCTGAGCTTGCTGTATCATGTAAGACAGCCTTCTGGAGAGGGGGTGGGCTGTCTTCTGGGGCTGGTTCTGCAGCTCTAACTTCTCTTCTCCTCTCTCCCGCTGCCTCCCGGCCAGGATGAGAAGAACCAGATGATGACCACCAACGTCTGGCTCAAGCAGGTGAGGGCCCCTCCGGGGAAGGCAGGAGCAGGGCAATGCTTTTCCTCTGCCGGCCAGCTTCCTCTCCTCCCCGGGTCCCTCCCCAGGGTCATGCATTTGTGTACACATTACACGACTATTCCTGGAGGGGAAACGGCATCATGCAGGGGGCCCTTTTCAACACTGCGCTGTTCTAGTGCAAATGCACGAAAGCAAAACGGCCCGTGGACCGGGAGACAGGATGCAAGCCCGGGTGCTGCCAGCAAAGTTGCCTTTCTAGATGGTAGCGGTTATTATTTTAATTATGATAAGCCCCCGTGAGGCGAAGGACAGGCTTGCGTGTCCATGCCAGTCATTCTCTGTTGGGAGTGGTTGTTCCTTTTAGGTCCAGAAGGGACACGGGAAACCCTCCCGGAAATAGGACCCTACCACTTGGGAGTGTTTTCATTGCTGGGATATTCGTTTATTGAGCATCTACCAGGGGCCGGGTGTTAGCAATGCAGGTGTTGTCATTGGCTTCCTGGACCTTCCAGGGTCATTACATCAATAAACACGCACAGCCACCTGTAATTACCATGTGTGACAGGGCCATAGAGGAGACTTCAGAGAGTGAATAATACTCACCTGGTTGGGGGGAGAAAAACAGGTGCACTTGGACCGGCTGGTGTAAGGCCTGCTGGGACTCCTAGGGGGCGCTCTGGCGCACAGTTTGAACTCCCCTTTCTTAGCTGTATATTCTGGCAGATTTTTACTTCTCTGCTCCTCAGTTGCCTTATCTGTGAAATGGAGAAACACTCCCACCTTTTGGCATTCCCTGCCCGGGTGCAAAAAACTGTAAATTGTGATGCATTAACAAATGTTACTGCAAATGAGTGAGGTCCTCCCCACCCCATCCACTAAGTCGTCCCGCTAGGGCGTAGCAGAACGAAGACGCCTAGAAGCGGGATTAGGGTGACTTATGTGCCCCGGACTCTGGACATGAGAGCTGGGGCAAAGCGAGAGATTGGCCAAGTCCGACCAGACTCCTGACTCCCAGCCCCGAGCCCTGCCTGCTCCGTGGGGCTGGGTGACGAGCTCTGGTCAGAGCTCCTGAATCCGGCTGCTGGGGCGTCCCCGGGCTGCCCCGTGTTTGCCCCGAGACCCCCTCCCCGGCAGCACCAGGCGCCCTGACTCCCCTCCCCACGCACAGGAGTGGAGCGACCACAAGCTGCGCTGGAACCCGGCCGAGTTCGGCAACATCACATCCCTCCGAGTCCCTTCGGAGATGATCTGGATCCCGGACATTGTCCTCTACAACAAGTAGGAAGCCGCTGGGGTCTTGGGAGGGCCCCTGGGAGCCCCCCACCCCCCTCACCCCACACACCTCACCCCATATCTCTGTGCCTTGAAGCCAAGATCCACCTACTTTCAGCTTCCTGTGCTTCTGGCACAAGTCAGAAGCAAAGTCCTTAGCATCCCAGATGCCCTGGAGTTGTAGGATGGCCAGTCAGGCTTTGGCCAGTGTTACTTGAATGTAACAGGTAATTCTTACGACAGGACAAAACTGCAAACCAAATTCTTATATTTGAAGAAGGATCTCCTCCACCCCATCACCCCATTCCAGGTTTACAGGAAGATCCAAGACATCACACTCTCCTTCCTCAAAACAGGGCGCATGTGGCCATCTAGTGGTGGTTATGTGTGATGACACAATGCCTTTAAAAAATTTTTTTAACTTTTGCCTGATCTGGGATTCTCTTTCAAAGTTTCCAGCGTTTTCTTTAAAAATACATTTTTTTTATTGATTTCAGAGAGGAAGGGACAGAGAGATAGAAATATCAATGATGAGAGAGAATAATTGATCAGCTGTCTCCTGCACACCCCACACTATTGGCTCAAGCCTGCAACCCCGGTATGTGACCTGACAGGGAATCGAACTGTGACCTCCTGGTTCATAGGCAACATTCAGCCACTGAGCCATGCCACTGGCTGGGCCAGCGTTTTCTTTAAAAGGTTCCCATTTTCTAATCTCTAGCTTGGAACGACTCCATGGGAAAGAAGTCTCTTCCTGCATGTTCTGGTTCTCCTGCCTTTAGGATTGACCTTGAGAATTATTAAAGACTAAAGGCCCAGTGCACAAAATTCATGCATTGGTAGGGTCCCTAGTGGCTGCTGGCTGCCAGCAGGGTACTCCCTCCCTTCTACCTGCCCCCTGGTCGAACTCCCGGTGGAGGGAATAATTTGCATACTACGCTTTTATTATGGAGGACTAGGGAGCAGAACACTGCGTCATCTCCTAGAGCAGTGATTCCCAAAGTGGGCGCTACCGCCCGCCGGTGGGCGCTGCAGCGATCCAGGGGGGTGGTGATGGCCACAGGTGCATTTGGGGGCGATGAGTAACTGCTATTAAAATTTTAAAAAAATTAATTTCCAGTGGCTGAGTAATATTTTTTTCTGGAAAGGGGGAGGTAGGCCAAATAAGTTTGGGAACCACTGACTTAGAGGTTGGTCACAAGTCTCAGCTCACAGGTATAAAGAAAAAGCAGCGCCTTTGGGTCAAATCCAGACACTTTTTAAAATTTTTATGTAACCAACCTCAGTCTGAAAAATGGAGTTAATAACACATAGCATAAGAGTTGTGATGATTAAATGGAGTCAAGCATGTTAAGTACTCATGTTGATGGAAGTCAGCAAATTCTTCTATACAAGAACACATGGTAAATAATGCAGGCTTGCAGGGCTCAAGGTCTTTCAGCATTGCCGGTGTGGTGAAAATGACCATGGGCAGTATGCAGACAAATGACTGTGGCTGTGTTCCAATAAAACTTTATTTATAAAAATAGGTGGCAGACTGGATTTCCACCCCCACTCCAGCACAGTGCTTGCTGTCCCATGTAATAGTATGATTCTCATTGCTTTTTTTTTTTT